CTCCTTACATTTTTCAAAAGTTTCATAGTTTTCATGCCTAAATTTTGAACTTTAACTGAATGTGCAAGGGGTTGGTCCATTGGAGAAGGGATGTTGAACTATAATTCTGAATTTATGATGTGTGAACTTACAGAATGTGGCGAGTCTGTTGTACACGTAAAATAAGATATGTTATTAAATTTTTTTTACTAAAGATATGTCCGTGGAATGTCGAAGTCAGTCTGACTCAGATTTTTAGAAATTGGAATGCAAGATGATGTGCATGTGAAGAATAAAAGTATTTTCATCCATCGTACAGTTTACAACCTTCTAAGTGCATATTTAAAGTATACCTGTACACCGTATCTGGTATTTTTTGTACTCTAACACAAACTGTTGCAAAATCAGCAATATGGAGAAAGATGAAACGTTGGAAACTCTGACATCAAATGCACAGTAGCATGCTGAATGGCATTTTGTACAAGGTTGAGGTATGCACACTTTGATCCCCACCAATGCACATAGAGCTAATAAATAATCAACCCCAGTAATTGAATCCTACTTCATCAGCTTAGATGTTTTACATCATAGGATAGAAAATCTTGCTGATGCAACCTGGAACACAGCATGTAAAGACTGATACTCAGGTTACTTTTGAACAGAAAGTTAAACTTTTGTTTCTGAGGATTCATGAAAAAAAAGAAAAGAAACATCAGATAAAAGTTTATTGGTTTTAAAAAATATTGTAAGTGCCATATGGTTCGACAGAAATTATCAGGGTTCTCATGTGTCCTAGAAATCCTGAGAAATTTCAAAGTGAATTTTTATACCGGGAAAAGTCATAGAAAAATGAAGAAAAACATAGATTTCATGGAAAAACTGTGACTTTATGAAATGTATTATCTGAATTAATAACAGTTAATTATTTCATTCTGTTACATATTCAGAATTTGAAATAATCCAAGGCCTCGTTAAATAATTTAACTTTTAATAATTGAGACGTACCTTGGATTTAGGTTTAGAAACATGCTGATATTTTATTTTCATTAACTTACAAATAGCCTAAAACCGTCTTCCTAGTTCAGAGTCTCCTTGATATCCAGCGAGTTATACGTACATATAAAATTTGGCGGGAAGCTAGCTAGCTTTGTCAGGCACTGAATTGTTGGACCGTTGAAGCAAGATAATATTTTCACAAAATCACTAATGTCCGATGAGAAATTAGGAATATTCTTGGAGAGATATTAACGTTCGATGGGAATTCACTGACATTCGAAATTTATAACAGTTTCATAGTAGACCTGTCTCTTCAGTGTTCTCTGTCGTCTGTTCTTTTTTGGTGCAATGCTCTGCTATTTTTATAGGCTAGACACATCTTCTGGAACCTTCTAATAAGACTGGATATGGAAATGGATATATATATTGTTGATTCTTTGTGTTCATGAATATTCTATAATCTTGGAGAATTGGTGGGAGTTTAGCCATACGTAACTAACACGGTAAGCTAAACACGCCCTCAAATATAAACTTATTCGAAACAAACGTTGACATTAAAATAAATATATCACAAATTCGTTATACGCAACACATATCTGATAATACAAGTCATGCATATTTTTAAATACAAATTCAATCCAAATAATGTTCATATTAAAAATAAATACATAATAATAAATTTGTTACAATTCAATAAGTAAGTTAATTAAATAGAACTAAAAAGGCATGAGGATGGGGTAGATATTGGAGGGGGGTGGGAGTGCAAGCTATAAAATGTCCAGGAAAATGTTTTTACCAAAGGGTAGGAACCATGAATGATAGTCCTGGAATAGCCTGATGTTTAGGGCACTCGACTCACGATCTGCAGGTCACGAGTTCAAAACCCTGTTACACCAAACATGCTTATTCTTTCAGCCATGGGAGTGTTATAATGTGATGGTCAATCCCAAGAGCTGGCAGTGAGTGATGTTGACTAACTGCTTCCCTCTAATCTATCACTGCTAAGTTAAGGACGGCTAGCACAGATAGTGATTTAAAACATGATTTATGTTAGTATTATTTTTAGCATTTCAGTTTACATAAGAAAGGCTTGTCTGAGTGTTATTATTATGTTTGTATTTCAGTGCATTAGATGCCCACAGTGAATACCTTGTTCAAGAAGCCTTGGAAAGACTAATGAGAGGCCGTACTGTCATAACCATTGCCCACAGGTTGTCCACTATTCGCAATGCTGACAGAATAGCAGTGTTACATGAAAGAAGGATAGCTGAAATAGGAACCTACAATGAACTAATGTATAAAGAGAATGGTTTGTTTAGGAATCTGGTAGAAAAACAGACTGTTACTGCTTGAAGTGTGAAAAGTATGTGAAAACCTAGTATAAGGTATTTATATAAGGAGATATTCATTTTACTATGTGTTAAAAGTTTTTTTTTAGATGAAATATATTATAAAAGTCCTTAAAAAGTAAAAACTTATTAAGAGAATCAGGACTTAACACAGCTCCAAACAATTTCCTAAATGTTGATAGAAATAAAGTATCTTTTGTTTTATTAGTATTGTCTTTTTTTAACATAAATGTGTTTAATATACAAAAGTATTTCTAGCAGGCCATACAGACACTTGATACTATTTCCAGTTGTAGTGGGAAGGAATGAATGTTTCAATGCTCTTACCAGATTTTAGTAACTTTTTCTGAATGAAATGTAACTTATAATTGTTAGGATAATTAAAAAGAACAGAAAACGAATAATATATAAGTTACAATGTAATATTTTTGCATTTTATGAAAGAAGTAGAAATATTTAATTTGACAAAAATTTTCATTATCATATGTGATGTCAAGTGCAGAAAATATCAATGTTTTAAGACTGTGCATATATAATCTCATGTCAGTGATGTCTCAGATAATTCTTTGGGAAAGTGTTTGCCACAGAAACCTGTTAAACAAATGCACATGGGACTGATCCACTGAATCAACCCTGTATTGGAGAAGGAATATTGATTATAATTACAAATTTACTATATGTGTCTACACAAAATGTGGCAAGCTTATAGTAAAATATACAACTCTGTTTTTATGTGTTATAAAAGTATTTGTACTCAAGATATGTCTGTAAATTGATGACATCAGTCTGACTCAGACTCTGACAAGTTGTAGTACATGGTGATGTTCAGGTGAAAAATAAAAATACTTTTATATATCGTGCATTCTGGATATTACATTTGCATAACTTCTGAAATGCATATCTGCAGTATTTTTCTCTATCTCTGTATATCGTATTTACCAAGAACTGTTTTAAATTAGAATTGTAGGGTAAAATGAATATTTAATAACTCTGAAATCAAATACATAATACCATATTAAATGGCTCTCTGTAAAAGATTGTGGCATATGTACTTTGACCCCACCAGTGCACATAGGATTAAATGCTTACAAAATTATTTAATTGCTTGAATATACAAAATGTATTAGTTTTGCCAGAAGTGCATAATTTGAAGTTAATTTCTTTTGTTTTTATATGAAGATTTACTTTTTAAGGTTTTGTGTGTGAACTCTGAGTTTTAATGAAATTTTAGTAAAAGAAGACAATAGTACTACTGTTTTTTCAACATGTGATATAAACAAACGGGATTCACTATTATTTAATGTTGAAAATGCATCTTTTTTAACCTGCCTTGTATTGTAGAAATGTTTCAGCAAAAGCAAGCTATAGAAGTATAGTTTAATTTTTGACAGTGTTATGTTATAAAACCGTGTCCTTCTGTACTTCTCTTTAAAATGGCATGTGTGCACTGTCAGCTTATTACATTTTTATTGTGTGTTTTTTCTAGTTTCTTACTAGTGATTATTAGGTTCTAAAATACTGTATTTTATTAGGTCTAAAATTCCTCATATATTTTTGTAAAACATTAACCTAAATTGTTTCTTTGACATGCTTAAAATATTGTTTGCGCATGAATATTGAATTTTTAAGCTGTTGCACACGTAACTTACCAACATCATATAGCAATATTCACACAATATCATTGACTAGGTGCTTGAAATAACAGTGACTTGTGCTAGACTTTATTAAAATGGTGAAATGTTAAAACACAAATAAATTATCACTTGGAAATAGACGAAAATGTTCCTAGATCACAACATTTGAATTAACATTTAAAGACAAATGCATTAAAAGAGGGACTTAGTGAAAAGTCCACTATTCTGTTAACTTGTATTGTGCTACTGTAAAAGAAGACTAAGAATTACAAAGTGTGTTTTATAATCATGTGAATAAGTTTGTATATGAAAGGCATTGTTCATTTGAAAAATTTGCAGTTGATCCATGAAGATAAATTGTAGGATTAAAATAAGGGTAAAAAACACTTTTGGTATTTCTTTACCTCTACAAACTGGTCTGTATGTTGACACACATAATTAAAGGAAATTGTAAGATGTCCAAACATTCTGTAAGCCATATATAAGATAATCATTTCCTTGCTTCATACAGTCTGTCTTTTCCAGCCAGTTTCTAATGTATTACCTCAATTTGTGGTAGTGACAATTACCAGTGGAAAAAAATTAACCTTCATTTATATACAAAAGCAGTAATGTGCAGTGTATTATGTTTTAAATAGAGTAACATTATATTGTAACAGAGTATTATCTTTTAGAAAATAAATATGATGTAGGTAACATAAAATTTTGGATTTTGATTTTAGAAGGTTGTTAATTGTATGCAAGTGTGTATAAAGATAAGTCGTATATTTTTTCAAATAAAAATCAGTATTGTTAGATAAAGCAATATGATGTTATGACTTACTGTTAGATATTATAATGAACGTTATTGGCCTTTGTGACTAAATTTTACATGTCCTTTTATTAAAAAAATATTTGTCAAAATACTAGGATTTTTCATGAACAAATAACTTTATTATTAAGACTCATGCATGCAAGTGAAAAAAGTCAGTTCTTATAAAATATTTCTTTAAAAAAAGCCTTTGTAAATATAATTTCACTGTAAATATATTTTAAATGAGTTGAAAAACAAAACAGATTTACATTTAAATTTCAGTAGTTGGCTTTTCAACAAAATGTAGCCACAGGTTGTCATCACATTTTGGTAAAATGAGTTGTAATATGAAAATCTATAAGTTCAAATGCATGCTGTTTAATTCTTCCTTCAAATACTTTGGCTCAAAATTATAAATAGTAAAGATTCCTTTATCTGAAGAGTTATTTCATTCTCTGTTGAGCAGAGAATTGCTGATATCTGTGTCATTAACTGACCCATCACACATTATTGCAATGTAGGTAAATTCTGGATTGATTACCTTCATTCCATTTAAAATGTTCTTTAATTTGTGGTGCTAGGTGATGTATCGTGGAAATGAAATAGATCTCTTTACAACGGATACATGTGAATTTGTATACAATGTATGATCGCCATAGCATTGGAATTGTATTTTTCACCTTGAAGAAATGTTTTATGTGTACTTGAGATTTAAATATCATCTTCAGCAATACTTATATACATGATGGTTTTGAAAAGTTCAAAACGTTTTTCTTTATTTTGAAACTTGAAGAACCCATAAAAAGTAACACAATAGCCAAAGGATGTTTAGGTACTACAAGGTTTTTCACCTTTAGCAAGTACTTGTTCACTATCTGGTTAATGAGTTTTTCAGGGAAATAGTTCTGGTTAAGAAAGCTTTTGATGCTACTAACTTCTAAACAGAACACAAACTTAGTGCTTGTTATTTTAAAAACACTGTAAACCAGCATGAACACTATTTTTGAAAACAGGAGGAACAAGGCTACTGTAGTTAAAATATAAACCTACAAAAGTTTGTTCATTATAACATGATACTAATAACTTTTTCAGGTTTATATCTCAACTACAGAGAGAAACTATATGTACATATACTACAAACTAAGCTATTAACACTCAATCTGAAGGAAACATACATATATCTACTATACAATCCAAAATGAAACCATTAATCCTAAACATAAGATATACATATATATATATATATATATATATATATACACACACACACACAAACCAAACAAATCATCTCAATACAAATAATTTAGGAAGGAAACCAGATATACTTACCTAAAGAAGCCCCAACAGAAAATCCTCAAAAGTAGCCTTGGGGTTTTGGTGCAGCATGGTGATCTTACAGACAATTTCTCTAGCTCTAGCAAGAGCTTTTCAAGTCCTCCTTTAGCTGTATTGACAGCTCTCTGTGCTTTAGCAGATTGGTGTAGCAATTGTAGAGCATCCAGACCTCTGTCTGCCTGCTCTTGGCAGTGGTGCTTTAGAACTGTTATCTGCTTTAGCGAGAGCTGCTTTTTTACCTCAGTCAGGAGCTTGGCAGGGACCTCCAACTTCTCTGTATTTTTCTCCAGAGACATAAGAGAGACTGCTGCTGATGAAGTAAATATCCTGGTGTATGTGGAGAAAGTCACCACCTCAGAAGCATCTACTGTGCCAGTGTGATACTAGCATCTGCTATCACTGGCTCATCTCTCTTAGGATGATTGATGAAGAAGCTAGAGCTGTCAAATGACCTTCTCACTTAAGACATCTTTTTTCATGTGATAGCTTCGGGAAGGTTATGCTGGGATGAACAATGTGATGTTTCTACTAGAGGTGGACACACATGGGAATGTTTATTCCTATTGATGTAACATCCTCTGATGAGGCACATATATTTCTTCTTCTTATGCTCTGACTTCTCTTTGTTCCTGGATTTTTATTTTTATTTGGTCTTCTCATCTACTTTTAGGGAAAGCTGAACTTGGCATAGGTATAACAGTCTGGACAGCTAGCATACTGGATGATGCTTGCTTGGTTAAACCAGGACCACCAATGATGAAGTTGCAAGTGGCAAATTCTGAAGTTCCTGAGTCTTGGGGTTAACCCCACAGTTAGCAGTCTCCAGATCCCACACGTTGAGCACATCATCTACCAATGCATCTTCATCCATAGGCTTTAAAGGCATAAATGTAAGGTCAACTCCAGGTGTAGCAGACAACATCAGAAAAAAAATACTCACCATTAGATACTTCCATGATTATGCTCAGTTTCATAATGAGAAGAGCAACTTAAAGAATACAGTTAGTTCCAATTAACAGTTTAAAAATGAAAATAGCCAAAAGAGTTAAGAATTTGATCTTAAATACAAAACGTTGTGATTGAAAATGCAGGATCAAAATAATTTTGATTGGCCAGAAAAACTTGGTTAAGAATATGAGTTAAATTCATAATGTCCTAGTTATTAAAATACCCAATACTAAAATAACATTTAGGACCAGAGTGTGAAAGTCAAAAATAAACCTGTGGTCATGCTCCATGTCTACAGGCATACAAATGTTCATGCTTAACCTGCCTGTAGAACATGATCCCTACTACCTGCAGACAGCTTGGTCACAACAGACATCCCCAAGTCTGTAACCCTGCTGTATTCCATCCAATACCATTGAATTGTTATAGAAACAGAACCCTGGGGTCCAGAAGGAAAGAAGTGTGTGGTGGGGGGGGGGGGGAGACTGCAATGTAGATTCCCACACTAATGACTGAATTAGATTGAACACTGCTCAGTTGATGACTCACTTCTTCCAGCCATGAAATCTCATTAGCACAAACATTTTGTTTTCTTTGTAATTTTCTTCAGCTTAGCACAGAGAAGAACTAAACCTCTACATAAAAATGCTACTTCTCATCTTTGATGGCATATTCACACCTTGCATTTTGATGCACTAAAACTTTCGTTCTGCTGGAAATCATTAATACTAAATTCAGAAAACTGTGTGGTATTGAAATATTTTAATCAGCATGATCAAAAATATTTTACATAATACAATAGAACATAGGGTACAGCAAGTTTACATGTGTTATGCTCTGTGATGCTATTTATGAACTTCCCACAGGTAACTTCACCTTACTCACATTTCAGTTCCAACATCCGTAATGTTTCTGCCAACACTAAGAAAAAATAGTATTGTGTGAGCCTATTCGTTACTCTTTCCATAAAATCCACTAACTAGAGAATATATGTGAAACTAAAACATTCTCACATGCACATTAATGATTACAACAGGCCCACTATTTCACCAAGTAATGACTTACTGGCTTGTAACAACAATTAACTTCATAACTTGAGCTTTTAACATTCTGATCAAAATCTCACATTGTCTTCTGGTTTTGTTCTCAATGACTGTTTCATTTTGTGTTGGACAACACTTATAAATGATTTTGTGTAATAGTTTATACATACATATGCAAAACTACACACACACACATATGCTGCTGTACATGTATGTTTCCAACTTTCGCACATCACCACATACACTATTAGCTTTTGACAGATTGCCATAGACATGTGCATCATTGCCACAGTAACTTACACTAATAACTCATTAACTACCTGCAGTACTCATACTTGCATAATGTGCCACCATCTGTGAATGGTGAAATTCAACAGTGTTTTATAGGCCTTATGAAATACATAATTCCTGGTGAAACTAACATTGTCAGAATTAATGTTCATTCTGTTGCTACTTTGTACATCAACACGCCTTCAAATCAACTTTGGCTAAATATAATAGTCCACAATAAATTAGCATTTGTAGTCCAGAGTAGCTACTAACATCAGACCATTGAGACTCTGTATTGGCTTATACAAGTCAATCCATTCATATTAGTTAACATCACAGAGAAGTAAATACAGGTAATCTCAATGAAAGATCTTCTCCATTGAAATTCAGTCAGCCAATCTGGTGAGGAAAACAACCCACTAAATGTATGTGGAGGAATCATACACAGTTAAGTGCATGTGTGAGACTTTATCTAGAGCACCCGTGTCCTGTTTGGGGGAATAGCCACTATTTAGATAAGGGTGATCAGTTTTCATGAAACATTGGGCTAATCCTTTTCTATGTAAAGCAAAGGATGAACAGTCCCTTCGGTCATCAGTTTATTGACCAGCTTGGAGTAATTGAGTGGTCATCATGAAATGTCCATGCATTTTGTCAGACAAATATATGGTGGCAAATGATTATAGTTCTACCCCATCAGCTATCCAATCCACAAATACATTGACATTGTTAGCCAGCAGGTCACTGAGACTTTAATGCTGTGTTGAGTCCAGATTCCTACTGCATTCGTCAACTAGCATTCTCAGATATTCTAATAAAAGAATATTCCCTTTTTGACATTATACAACAAAAGCGTCAATAAAATTATGGCTAGTATTAATCACCTCCACTTTGCTTGCCATTCTGATGATCACTGTATTGGGAAGCTGGATTTACATTCGTCCTTAATTGCAGAGCATCACTTGAACTTCATTTCCAATGAACAGATCACTATTTGTTCTGTTGCTACCCATTTTCTGGACAGTAAACAGTGTCTTGTGTGTTGGCTTGACAGCCATATTACATAGCACAAACATACTCAACCTTGCACATGGCACACTACTTGAATACAGGAAGGTACTGTTGTTACCTCCACACGGTATACACGAGTGGTCTACTGTTTCTGGGTTGGTTCTGACTGACACT